TCAGCTGGCTCAGATGAAGTGGCTCTTTAATCATTTTACTTTTAGATGATCTTATTATATTGGTTCACATTAAAGTAGTAAAAGAATAGACTTTACATAAAATATTTTTTATAGCCTGACGGGATATTTTTTCCACAGTTGAAAGCTCCCAGTGTGCAAACTGCATCATTCTGTCTGTAATAACCCCCGATTTATATTCAATACCTTTCTCTTTCTCATTGTCAGGGGGGCGGTGGAGCATATCCCAGCAAGCACTGGATTGAAAGAAGAGATACACCTTTGACAGGCTTCCCGTGTGTCAAGTCAATCCACTTTTAGAAGAAGTGGAGGAAAAAGTCGGAGAAGAAGCAGACTGAACGCTGGGAAGTTAGAAAAGTGAACGGCGGCTCCTCTACATTCACGTCAGTTCAACGACAGTTCAGAACTGGGAATTAATTTAATATAAGGGGTGGAAAAGTAGAAAAAAGAGCACAATCTATCAGAGTCGGTGAGGAATAAATGTAGTTGATTAAAAAAAAAGATGGATGTATTCCAGCAGCCAATAGAGAAATCTACAGGCAAAATGCTTTTAGATATGAGATGTAACTGATGCCATGAATGGAAATCTGGGGCTGATGAATGGCCAGATGCTGAACAAAACAAATTTCAATAAGGCCTGCCCCCTCCCACCTCTGCTGGGGCAGGAACAAGCTGTGGAACAAGAGATAAATCAGGGACAGATTATTCAGGACACCATCACGAGGGATGAAAAGCTCAGAAGAGGAGCAAGAGCCTGACCTTTTCTGAATATTCATGACGGGGGAGAGAAAGTGAGATGCGCACCATTTTCCGGACTGAAAAACCTTTTTGGAGTCCAATCACAGAGGCCAGTTTATGCCTCAGCGCGAAAATAAATAAATCTAACATAAAAACGTCAAGAAAGGCTGGCCGGCTGCCAGCCGGAAGGATCAATAACCATTAACGATGTCACACATGCGGCCGGGGAGCGGCGGGATGTGCAGCTCTGCGCAGCCTTTTCCTCCTGATGGGAGGTGGGCTGCGGCTTTAGTTACAGTAACGACAGCCAGTTTTTTAGGCTCCCACAGAGAGGGAGAGGGAAAAGAGAGAGGGAGAGATGCTTTCCGATTGACAATGTCATCAGCGCTCTGTGTGTGTAAACACATCCAGCAGCCTGGAGAAACTGGGTCACTTTCTGACTGCGATGAAATGAGATGGGACGGGTAGTCTGGAGACCCACCGCGCCCACCAATGTGGGCCGCGTTCATATGTCAAGAGCCAGTCCGTAATCCCTCTCTTTTATCTGCCTCATGAATCAAGTGAGCGTGCCTCCAGTGGTGGCGAAATCCGCAGAGAAACACAGGTGGAGAAGCGGAGGGGAGGAGCAGGAGGAGGGCCAAGCGCTTGTAATTCCTTGCTCCAGTTCTCTTTGCCTTAGTGCTGGAGACACACAGCTCATTAATATCTGAAGCTTTAGTCTTCGGGATACACACAGCTCCAGTTAATGTAATGCTGGCATCGGCCCACGTGAGCACAAAAGAAACAATAAAACCATGAGGCAGGAATTAGACGGGAGATCTGGAACATAATGTGCTGCGCTTTTATCAAAAAATATGTTCTTCTCTTCTTTAGTCAGTCTTCAGACCTGATGAAAGCTATGGAACCGACTGTTCTTCGTGTCAGTCAATGCCAACGAACAAGCCTGAGAGCAGCCGAGTGCTCGGTGCTCAGCTTTGTCATGCTGACCTCAAGGAGTGAGCAAGCAGCCTAAGACCCTCCATAGTAACACGAGCAGTTTTAGGATATCAACGACCAAACCGGAGAGTTTAGGCAGAAATGACTCAAAGAACCAGAATGAAACGCCACATTCAAACCTGCCACGTACAGATAAGCGCCCTTTGTGGCTGACAACAGTCATGAGAAAACAGCGTCTAACGCCCACCAAGCAGCTGGATAAGAGGCAGCAGAGGTGCTGTGAGCGAAATGCAGACATCAGCATGCTAACATGCTCAGTGAGTGGCAAAGCCAGCATGTTGATGTAATGCTCTGTGAAATGCTTACCGAGCGTCTAGTCATTGCTCAGTGTATCATAAACCAAATGACTTGAAACAAAAAAAGGAAAAGAGACAAAAGGACCTTGTCGGAGGTTAAAATTAGAAGTTGAACACGTTGCGTTTTAAACCTTACAAAGCTGCCAAATTCTGTACTGAAGAAGTTGGTGAGTTAGTAAAGGTGGCTCAGCTGTTCAGCTCAGCATGAGCAAACTTTGAAGCTTTCTATCCACTCAATCAATGTTTTGTAGGAAAAAAAAAAAAAAATCTCATAAGGACATGAGACCACAGTCTGAATAGCTCACCTTTTACCCAAATAGCCAGATTTTAAAAAGCTGCTTGAAGGACTGGGGCTGACGCCACCTTTAACATTGGGCCCAACTCTTTTGGGTTGAGATTCTGCCATTTCCTGTCACAATCTGGTAGCTTTAAAGTCCTGTAAAGGACAGACCAACGGACGGATTAAGCGAAGCTATTATTTTAGAAAACAAGTCAGCATCTAAAATCCTTTTAAACGCAGGCAGAAACTAAAAAGCGTTTAGCAGTCATGGTATGGTCTTTCTGTTCTAAGAGGTGGTTAGAAAACAAAGCCTTAGAATAAAACGTTCTCACCAGGGAACTGTTTTCCTTTTTTAAGAAAAAAAGAAAGACAACAAAACCGTACAACCAGCAGCTACGTCTGTACAAAAGAAGCAATTTCTTGTGAGTAATCCGGACAGAGAACCTAAAAGAGCTCCTGCAAATGGACACAGGGAAGATAATAAAAAACAAACAAGCAACAAAAGCCAACGGCAGCAACAACACTGGTAGCAAGGACATTAGTGAGCACCTCACAACTGTGTGGCAACTGTACGGAAGGTGTTCTTAAGCAAACTAAATCCTTATCATCATGTAGTTACACAGGCAGAAGCAAAAGATTTCCCATAATACAAACAGACTGGTCTCATTAGAGCAGCTCACTCTCTCATCCTAATTCCCCATCAGCTGCGGCACAACTCCACCCACCCTATTAGCTCTTCCAAATCCCATCAGATTCAGGTGATAGAGGGTTGATGCTAAACAGTTAATAAAAGCCATGGTGTATTTTCAGCAAAAAGCCACGGCAACATTCGTCTGAGCTCCTTCTTTTGCCTCCTCTGCTCACGTGCCACTTTGCCAGCAGCTGGCAGTGGCATTTGAGCTCTTCAGTTTATTCTGCGACTTTCCATTAACGGATTACCAACCGCCTATTTTTAAAATTAGACGACTGGTGCAAGCTGCTCCATCAAAAGAGACGCAACAATGAGCCTCTGCGCGTACGCAGCTTTCTGAAATGTCACAGAGAGGCATTAACAAAGCCCTTCTCTGGAAGAGATCTGAGGTAGCTGCAAAATAAACAAGACTGCTCCAGAAAACCAGCCCAGCCTGTGAACACGTACAGCCAGTATAAGGCCCGGAGACAGGGTGGATTTAGAAAAATAACAAACCAAAAAACAAACAAACATCCAGGTCATCAACACACAACATGCTAAATAAAGTTAAATGCAAGTCTTGTGGACCACAGGATGAGGCATTAACATTTGAAATCAGAAGTGTCTCTGGCTCTCCTCATTAGTGAGATATAATGAGAATATAATGAGGATTTTAAGCCCATGAACAGTCTCACCTGATGACTAGGCGTACCTTTAGTTCCCGGTGGCGGTGTGAGGTAAACGCCTCAGACACCATATGTTGCCATTAAGGCTTTAATCATCCCAGAGCAGGTGGGCAGATTGCGGGCAACATCACCGTCTGTTGCGACGGCCCGATGAGGGACGGCGGCGGAGCGGGGGGCGGCCTCCACTCAGGGGCGGTCAGCAGCACCCTTCACACGGCCAGGAGGAAGACTTTGGTGGTGTGGAAAGTTTTCCGTGGCAGCCATCGACGCGGCGCACAGAACAGAACAGCTCTCTGACCGATTGGGAGACATATTGATTTGAAAAACACTTAAAGCTTGTGGTTATCAAATACTGCATAGTTTGTAACAATTAAGCAAAATAGCTACTCTCCAACACTCAGGCTGATTGATTTTTTTCCCCTCCACACCTCATTCATTACGGAAATGTTCACAAAGATAAAGGAGGCCAAACTCCTTCTTCCAGCTGATTAATGAGCATGCATCTTGAACCGGGGTCAGAGGGCTTTCAGATCACAATGACAAGAATCCAGTTATTTTAAGAGTACAGAGGACAGCACATCCAACACAAACTGCTCCACCGCTGGCCTTCCACAGCATGCAGAGTTCTGCTAAACAAACCACAGGTGAGTTATCACGAGTCAGAATAAGTAAAGATGTCTGCTTCAGGCTGTTCATTTCCAGGATTTTGGACTGTTAGCCTGGGTCTGCTGGAGTCACGAAGGACAACATGAAAATACTTTCAAAATCATGTTTATTAAATTTAGAAAACACCATTTTGTTAACAGCTTCATACCAACAGCAGGAAAGAACTGAAACTGTAAGAGACGCAGATGGGGCCTGGGCCAACCCCTGAGTTAAAAACCATCTGTTCTGAAGCTCACTCGTCCCTAAGCTTCTGCCCTCCGGAGTCACCTGCACTTAACCTGGCATAGACTTAAAGAGTGGCGGTCGACATCTCGAGGCGGAACACCGGAGGAAACCAAACGTAAGAAAACTTTGTGGACATCAGGTAGAAAAGTTGATTTGCAAAGTCATGTTTCAAGTCAAGGTATTTTCCTGCTAAAATATACCGAGTATGCAACATTAACACGTAATTAGGTTGCCAACTGTGTTGCTATGTAGTTTAATCACTCAGGGGTGGGGTGGGGGGGCGAGGGCGGAGGGGGGGGGGGGGGG